GGCAATTGCAAATGTTGTACATGTTGTATAAGTATTATTATGTACTATTACTAATGGATTATATTATTATACAAAGTTATTATAAGTTATTTGGTAATCTCTCCATAAGATTAAACATGAGTATACAAGGTCACTCTTGATTAAGAATACAAAGTCACTCAAGACTACATAATAATAGTTTTTTAAAAGGGCAAAAGGAAAGCTCTCAATTGAGAGAATATATAAAATAATCACTCCTTGTATTGGAGTTTAGCTTCACAACTATACATTTACAAATAAGGTTCACACTCTACCATAGTACAGAAGATAATAATTTACGTCCTCAAACTTTAAAAATAAATAAATATAGTCCTTTTAACTCAATTATGTTAAAATATAAATATTTTTACGTATTAAATGGTCTTTCAAGTGGACTTTTGAGTTATTTACACTATTTCACACGTTCTACCTCAAATATCACCCTACAACACCATATATTTGATACATAAAAAAAACTTACAACATGTGGCTTGAAAAAATTATATCTATTCATTTTTAAAGTTTGATTGTACAAAATGTATCTAAAGTTTGGAACAGAACGAATATTCCAATTTTGTGTCCAAGTTTAGGAAACTATAAATATATTTATAATCCTTTAATTAAATAAAAATAAAATATTATTGATAAAATTATAAAGAATATTCCTTATATGTTTCACCCTACAAAGCTCGTAAACCAAATGTTATATGGAATGACCTAGAAGAATTAACCTATATTTCTTATGTGTATGCTAGTCTAGCCAGCTTTTTGTATACCAAATGTGGGATTAGCTAAAGTGGAGACAAGTCGACCTGCATTACTATTCTTATTCAACGTTGTAAAATTAATATATATTTTTGTTGTTATGAGATTGTAGTTACATATAATTGTTTAATATTTTATATGATTAATCAATTTTATCCAATTATTATTTGGTACTCTAATTTAATATTTAATATAGTTATAATTTATTTATTAATATTTGATGTTAAAAAAATATATTTTTTTTAATATTGAATATTTATAATAATCATTTTTGTATTGGGTAGGGTTAAGAGTTCTTTAATCTTTCTAAATAAGGACTATAGACCTAAGACATGTTGGCATACCGAGTATCGAGGATCGGGTATCCCAATCCAGATACTTGATACCGAAGTTTTCTAACTTAGAGACATGAACTGAACTGAAATTTGTTAGTAGGCTTGAAATATGTAACTGATTTCGAAATAGGTAATTATAGGCCTAAAGTAGATTAATTGTGTGAGTGAGTTGATTGGGGACAGTCAATAAAAGTATTATAATCCTGTTGAACCCTTCATCAACAAGGTTAAAATCTATAAATATGACATTAATAATAATTTATTTTTACTTTTAATATTAATTGAAATTTGATGGCAAAACTCTAACCAAATTTACTCACTTAAGTGTCATGATAACCTTATGCACGTGGTTGTGTTTCGGAGTGGCTGGAGAATATTGAGTATGCTGAAGCTAATATAGAAGGTTATAGAAAATAGTTTGGGAAAGAAGGATCTTTGACCATTATAATCGTTTGTTTAGAGAACATATTTAATATTCAAAGTACGAACAACTTTTTTTTCTTATTTTTATTATAAAAATTATTTATTGATATTAAAGCAACAAGAAAGCTTGGACGAAGATGAATACGAAGATGATGATTTTCAGATATAAGAATGAAACAAAATTTGTGTACGTATCCGTTAGGAATAAGAATGACTATAAAAATAAAATTTCACTAAATTGAGATAATAAAAGTCGCTGAGAACAGTTGTCATCTCTTTCACACATAATATTTAATTATTTTAAAATAAGTTTGAAAATTAAACTTTTATTTATTTAGACTACATATATTTGTTTAAGAAAAATTTAAAATAAGACAAATAAAAAATAACACGTTTTTTTTCTGTAATTAAAATAAATAACAAGGAATAATGGTTACTGATAATAATTTATTGTTTTTATAAGGAAGCTTGCAAACTTAACTTTTATTTTATTTAACACTAAAGATATTTGTTTAAAAAAATTAAGTTAAGGAAAATAGAAAATAACACGTTTTTTTCTCTATAGTATAATAGATATATTTTGTATAGCAAAACATATATTTTATTGTAATTGTGATTTAATATTTTATAATAATTTTATTGTAAAATTAATTATATAATATTTTTAATTACATTTATTTATTTTATTATCACAAAAGTTGTGTACAAATACTCCATACTTCCACTAGAAAAGAGTATGTGTGTGTCTATATATATATATATATATATATATATATATATATATATATGTAAAAGAGAAAATATTTAGTTTGAAAGGAGAGCAATCCACATTTCACTCCCAGTGAAGAGAATGATGGCGCTTCCGAGAGGATGTTTGGCAAAGATGTTGTCATACCGTAGTCCAATGTTTTTGTCCCTCTCTCCTCTTACTCTACAGCCTGCCAACCTTGCACTTCCATCGCTAACGCAGTTCTTTCACACCCTCTGCTTCTCTCTCCAATTCCCAGACCCCTTCTTTCCACGACCTCCACTTGCACTGGAAACCCTTGTGTTGTACCATGCCAGGGGAAATGCGCCATAGGTTATGACTTTTTTATGACCCATCACCTTTTACTTCATTTCGGTTATGGGTAACTTTTGCTGCTGTTCAAATTTTAAGCCTGAAGTATTTTCCTGGGAGCCCTGTTGATTTGCATGCAATGTGTTTGATCAATTGTTTCAATGGTAAATATGAATGACATAACACTGTAGTCACACTTGATAAACGCCTTATTATCTACAGAGAGGATATATCTGTTAAGAGAATTATTTGTGAATGAAAGGGAGGGAAGAAGGGGTGTGAAAAAGAATTAGACACCTTACATTGATTTTTAGAAAAATTATTTGATAATAACATCGTGTCAGAATACTTATTTTAAGAGCTAGTTAATTAGTTTTGTGATCACTTAATTAATGTTGGGTTCTCTTCTTCTTTTGTATACATATTTTTTTCCAAATTTATTTTTAAATAAACTAATTATTTTAATTTTATTTTTTAAATGACGTTTAAAAAAATTAATTTAATCATTTTTTTAAAATTGATTATTTTTTTGATTAAAATGATTATTTATGGTAAAAAGATTTATTTAAAGAAGTAAATAAAAATAATCCATAATAAAATTTTAAAATACTATTTGTATTTATTTTTATAATTATCAATATAATACTAAATAGTTATAATTAGTATGTTAATATGGTATGTCTTTCCACTGGTCATAATAATTTGTGGTGGATGAAGGAGGACTCTGTTTCTGTATCTCATCTCTATAATGAATATCCTCAAAACCTCTTTCCTTTTAGAGTTTCGTGCATCTTTTGTTTTCTTCGAACCGATTGGAGTTTCCTGGATTTGTACTACAGTGATTTACTGTATCACACGGTCATTAAAAAACGTCAGATAATTTGTGATTTATGGTTACACATTCAACCATCTACTCGATTATATGAACAAAGTTTGATGACAAAATTAGAATGTATTTTATATAGTAATGAACATGCAAAAGTATTGCATGTCCATGACTTTGTTTCAATTTTCCGTTCAGTATGATTTTGAGTAGGTCCAAATAATGTGCTCTGTGGAGAACCCGGTGCATACATTATTCTCTGTTTTGAAGTGTTTTTGGTGTGAAAACCAAGCTTTGCCGGAAGAGAGCTAGTTAAGTCTTTTTAATTGTTAGTTGGAAGATATATTGTTTGAGATAGGAATCAGCTTCATCTTTTTGGTCATGTATGTTAAATTAAATTGGTGTTGTGTAATGGATGCCCTGTGGCAGCGGAAAAAAAAATAGTTTTATTGTTTTCTTTTCTTCAAATTTTCAGATGGATGATCCTATCCACCTTGAGACGTTTAATCATGATTGCTCCAGTGGGCTTAAAGTTGACAATGCTGAGTTGAACAAAATACGTCCTCAGAATCTAGACTATTTCCTTGTTGCTTGATTTAGATGGGTAGGGTTGAGATTCTTGAGTTTCCAGTTCTAATGATTAGTGCAAAAACATTGCAAGTTGAAGACATATTCCACAGGTTTTGATCTGCCCAAACTTTTACCATTCTAACATGAGTACAGTGTTCAGTCATTCTGAGATATTCTGTTTTTTCTTCTTGTTCTTTTATCATACTTCTAAAATGAATATAATTTGCATTCTTAGACTGTAATGTTTTTGTGGTTTCGTTCACATCAAATTATACAAAGATATAATTAGGATGCCTAGTTTTTTTAATAGTGTTATATTTAGTACCTTTTAATGGAATGTAGTCTCGAGGTTTGAACCCTTTAAATGCAAACAAGATGGCTTGTGAGCCATAAACTCATGATATTAATAGTTTTGGTTCATAGGTTAGTTTCTCATGAATTTTAAAAATATAGTGTTATTATGAGACCATTACTTTGTTTATCTTACCAATTTACTTTTTGTCATGGGTCCTTACAAGGTTTGTGAGACCCTCAACAATGAGTGAACGGAGAATAAACGAATAATTGCAAACAGAATATGGGAAAATTTGGAGTTCACAGGTAGACGCTTAATCTGCCTTTACTAATCTCTCAATCTAGCACTGATTCATGCTCTGATCCACATACAATCATTGTTTTCATGTTTGTGTGTCATCAGGGTAAACTCTAAAAAACAATATATCCTCACAATTCTCCTCCCATATGTATTTATTTGATAAATTGATAAGTAATAGTAATTTTTATGGCTGCTGCTTTTAGTAACATTTTTAGATATTTTTGGTTTGAAATTGTTGGAAGTCCTACATCAACTAGAGATAAGATCAATTTATAATATATAAATAGGTGCAAATCTCGCTTTACAAACTAATTTTGTGGAGTTGAAACTAATTTTATGAAGTTGAGCTAGACTAAGTCAATTTCTTAACATGGTATGAGAGCATCACGATCCACTCACTATAGCCATACTGATTATTATTTTTTCAGAGTTTGGCATACTTCAAGCAATCCACAATCCCATTTACGGAAGTTATTCAGCAGTTTGGAGTTTGGTTGATGCAAAATCAGTTGTGGATGGGTGCAGAACTTAATCGAGCAGCATTTGTAACATGGTAAATATCATTACTCATGGTTTAACTTTTGTATCTCTTTTGTTTTATTTCTAATGATGCATCGGTTTCTGCCCTGTATATCTGGAACTAGAATAACAGAATTTGTTCTTCTACATCAAAATCTTTTGCTTTTGCAGTGGAAATTGGGATTTGAAAACTAAGGTCCTTCAGCAATGTGAAGTGTCAAAGATAAAGCTTCCTCCATATTTTATGGAGTGGGTTAATCTCAAAGATGTCTATTTGAACTTTTATGATAGGAGGGTAAGTTCTCTAAATGTTCAAAATTGGCAGAAGACCATAATAGAATCTATTCATTTTTCCATCTAACAACAAAACTTAGGGCAAATGCTTCAAAGGAAATTTTATCTCATTTTTGATAAAATGTTTTGTTAGGGCGGCAACTCTAGATAGGTGCTAGAGTTAATATCAACTTACGGTTTAGATTTTGAATTGTTAACCTAAGAAATTATGAAAATTACAATGCCCCTTTGATTTAACTGAGCATGATTCATCTTAATTGAGAAGGATTCAAGTTTTTTCATTACCTTCATTTTTCTTAATCCTAATGTATAACTTATTGTTTGCTTTTCTTTATAACGGGTAACAGGCCACAGGAATGGTTACAATGATGAAGGAACTGCAAATACCATTGATGGGAAGTCATCATCTTGGCATTGATGACAGTATGAACATAGCAAGAGTACTGCAACGCATGCTTCTTGATGGTGCACTCATTCAGGTTACTGCAAGGAGGAATCCTAATTCTCTTCAGAAAGTCAGTTTTCTTTTCAAGAACCGTATTGTATAATCTCCTTTTCAATGACCTGTTTAACTTTGTTTAATACTTTTAATCATGTAATTTATTCAATGATCAGATTATGGATTATAGTTTCATAACTCTAGTTCATTCTTACTGACTCTTTGAACCCAGTTAGATAAAAGATGAACTAAAAAAAGATTCTAGAAGCAAATGTTACATGTGTATTACTTTAGTGATTCCTATGTCATGAAGAAAAATGCACAAATGTCCGGTTATAATGCATGTGCAACGTATCAAGATTTAGTTGATTTTATATATCTCTTTTGTATTTTTGAAATGGATGGATTGAATAAATTTTCTTGTGATGGACCACATGAATAATATAAATTTTATATGTCCTGCTTCTAAATGTTGTTAGTATGGTGGGTTTTAGAGCCTGAAAAACATCAATTAAAAAGAGCTACGTGCTTCTTTATATGATATTGTAGTGCGAACTAATTTACCTTTTTTTTTCTGTTTCTTTTGATCATCTAAGATTTTACTGAGATTT